TACTGGCACAACATTGTGGCCTAGAATATAGTAGTAGCAATAAAGCACTTCAGATGACAACAGCACTTAAGAAGCACTTGAGCTTCGAGTTGAGAATGATGTGTCAAATGTGATTGGACGAGATAATTCGAAGTTCGATTCAATTTTCGGCCAACCAAATTATGGACTGAAATTCTACTCTTTTCGAATACTCACAACATTCTATATTGCGAGTCAAGAAACGAGCAATGTATCCTCTATGGAAACCATGATTTGGGCCAAGCCATTGGAGTCTGGCATGGCTTCAGGGCGGTCAGAACCCGTCTGATTCTTCCGTCTTTGTCACCTTCGAACGTCAGAGGCTTGGTGGACATGGCCGTTACCCACTGCAGATTAACATGCGAGTTTCCAGTGACGTTGATCAGTTCGCGGGTCTTGAAGTTGATAAAACATCTTCATACATTTTCGTATGTTTTGAATGTGTATGCTACTTCAATTCTGTCGTTGTCTGCACCTCTTCCCCTGTTGTACTGGCAGTGAACAGCAATTCATGCTAGTAGATGTAATCCAAAAGTTATGGCCCCAACCGGGGATCGAACCCGGGACCTCCTGCACCCGAAGCAGGAATCATACCGCTAGACCATTAGGGCTGGCTGACTATTCAGTCTTCAATGTCAATCCTATAAATATTGTACCCACTTTGTTCTCGAAATAGAAACCGGCAACATTGACTTGATTAAAGTATGCACCAGTTGTGATAAATGTCTTAACGTGTGTATCGAAATCCGATACACCCTATTGCTCTACAAAATACAATGACATTTTATTAAAATCTTACAGCTACTCTTTCTTGGGAAGACAACCGCCATCCAGGAATGCAATGGCACTTTGATGCACTGCTGGGTCGCAATGAACATTAAACAAAGACAGTCCTGTATGGTTGCATCCTTTTGCATATGAGGGAGCTTGTACTCGTTCCCCCCTTGTGCTCCAATGTTTTCTCAATCACCTTTTGCAAAGCCGAATTTTTTATCTTGATTTGAGTATTGAATTTTCATGTCAACTTGCTCGTCTGGATTGAACTCGTTTTTTGTGTATTCGAGCCAATTGGATGCGTTGAATTGAGCTTTTTTTAGCTAGTTTGATGTTGGCTGACGGCACCGTCGTGTTTAGCCCCGAATGCCTAAGGAAGTCAAGTTGTGAGAATTTATAGTTGTAGGAGCACATAATTCCCTAAGGAACTCAAATTGTGAGAATTTACAGTTGTAGGAGCACATAATTAGTGCACGGAATACTAGATCATAGAAGTATTACCTGTGAATTTCGAGTCGACGTCAGCGGCCACGACACCACCGCCAAGCGATGCATGCTTCCAAACGCGTGAATCAGCCCTCCAGTTGCACACGAATGTTTGAGCAGTTGATTATATTGCTCGAAGAGGCAATTGACCGTGTTTGCTTCGTACCAGGAACGCCTCAGGCAAGTATTTATTGTTGCCAAACTTTAGAACAAAAGCGACCTAGAAGAAAAAGTGCCAATCATAGGGGAGATCCCGCGTTCTTTGATTCAAATGAAACGAAATATTAGAAAAATTCCGCCAATCTATAGAGTAATCAGCCGCTTTTTCAAGGGCAAAGTACTTGCATTTCGGCCTTGTTTGGTTCAAAATTGGATTATCCCCTGATATTCAGCTTAAACGAATCCGAACTAAAGTAAACGAGTGATTTTAAGCTACTCTTCACGCCGAATTAAGGCCCAAATTCCCTGATTTTGACCAGAGCTTACTACCGTGTAGATTTTAACCAATAGCATGCATGTATTGTATGGTTAGCCTATGAGAAATCACTCATTTGGAAAAAGTGCGATTCATACATGTCGACAGTATATTGGACCAGAGGTAGTATTTAAATAGAAAGGAATTTTTCCCTGCAGGTCCATTAACCGGACAGGAATTTGCCTATATCTTAGACAAAGTTTCACCGTTTTCACTGCTGTTGGTGCCAAAATCTTCGTCACGTTTGGTTTTATCGTTGGCGCCAATTTTGAGCGGCTACAAACTACTGAATATCGAGATATAACGAAAAACCAAAGATGGCATTGGAAGCGGCTTTTGCCGCTTGATGTGTTTCAAGATTGACTTTGGTTAAGGTATGGCTTTCAAGAAACTCCTACAAACCTGCTCCGAAGTGATCGAATCCCACGCTTTGATAGTTCTGTTGATCATTGTGATGCGCTTGATCTTGGCAGAAGTGGACATCCAATCTTCCTCACCATCTGGACCCAGCACAACAAGGTCCAGTTTGAAGCCTCGACCCGCTGCCCTCCCTGGTGTGGCTCGAGCTGATCAGTTTTAACCATGTCATATGCGATCCATAGTTCATGATAGTGCCGTTTGAGGGCGCCATGATCGAGACGTTAAGCAGTTGACAATGTGATGTTGCGTTGGCTTGCAAGACGCAAACTCCAAAAGCCAACTACAGCGATTTCGCCGACACACTTTCGCTGACGTGACAGTCAAAGTGTCGAGAAGGACTTACTTCTTGGATATCCGCTCTGCGAGCATGTACCTCTAGTATGGTCTCCAAACATCAGCCTCCATCGACGCCTTTGGCTGCATGATGTAGTTGTGCTCCTTTGGGCACGGCAACAGCTCCTTTGTCGCACGGTGACCATCAGGTTACCCATGATGATGAACGAATTGAAAGCATCACCCTATCGCGACGCATGGTCAAAACCACAATCATGATTAATAATTTTCCTCACCCATCGTCACCTTCGACCTTGCCCCATTCTTCGACCAAATACAGATTTCCTTCGCTAAGTCGAACGGCACAAAGTGAATAATCTCTGAGAGTCAACATATAAAGTTGGAAAGGCAATTTGAATTTTGAAACTGGGCTGATTGCGTTGGAGCAAAGTGCTCGAGTAATCTTAGAATTTTCAGCGATGAAGGAGCGCATGACACTTCATAAAAGACATGACCTGTATGAACATCACATGCAGCATCCAGCAAAACGCCCTGGACCAAATCGACAACGTCATGCAAGGACGTCAAACGCATGTGTAATGACTTGTCCATATTGATATCAAACGTGTCTGTAATGAATTTGAATTGATTGGTTTTCGAAGCCTGTGCAACAATTTATACCTCTATATTTGGATGTATTACGATAATTGCATAGAATGAACCGTTTGACTTAGCGAGGGAAATCAGTATACCGTAGTGGCATGTCGTACAGAATGCCAGTTTTGTTCACATTGTATATGCAGTGATCAGGGAGGTTTTCACTGCCCATGAAAACGACGAGTGAGATCTATTTGCGTGTTCTCAAGGTCGGCGACAATACACTTGGCGAAACATAGTTGTTGGTGGATGTGTCCGTGACGAGAGCAGAAGTTTTGAAGGAGTCTCAAAAGGATATTGTGCCCATTGCCGTCTTTCTGTTGTTGGATGTAAGCACTGAGCCCGGTTGTTGGTGTTTCTTGAGATAATTGAGCATGTGAGTGCATGTATCCGCAAGTTCTTTGTGGCGACGTATCCATGACGGTGACTAGAGCTTCCGGGTACAGAATGATGCACGGATTTCCAGCGCCGGGCGTATTTAAATTTTACTTGTTTCCTTTTAAAGGAGTTTGTTCACTCGACAAGTTGTTCGAATTGCGCACACAGCTGTAATGGACTGATAACTCACTTGCAACCTACCGATACGACATTCTCCGGAGCATGTGAAGTGCTTGGAGCGTCAGCGATATTGTGTACACAGGACGTTAGACACCTCCACGAGATTCGTTGGAGGTGTCGTGCTTCATTATTGTCCAAAATTGGCATGACTTTTACACAAAGCATTCGCGGAAATATCTCTTACTACTCCGTTCCACAAAAATTCTCAGGTACCTTTTCACTTGATTAAAGTATGCACAGCGCCATTAAAACGTCTTGAGCTTTGTATTCAACTCCAAAACAACACGCTGCAATTATTTAGAATTTTTTCGTGTCTCATTCAAGAAAACTGACCAGAGCATAGAGGTGAAACTACTCAACCAGTCTGCTATTCAAATGAGCCATTGCGCTCTCTTAGACGTGGCGTCAAACTCGACATTATACGATGCAAAGTCTGCAATTAGAGCATCCTTCTTCATGTGAGGATGTCAATAATCATTACTACCATGCATTTCAATGGATAATTCCATAACTTCTTTGCAAGCGTGTCAGTCGGCAACTCATAGAACGCGTCTTCAACAGCAAAAATAAGCTCCTTGATGGTTCGAGTGCACTTTTGGTACTGGCTTTGAAAAGAATTATCCTAAGCCTAACACATTGAAATCGTGGTTGTTCGACAGCTGGTTCGCAACTTCAATTCCGCTAACTCCTATTGCACGAATCATTTCAGTGGTGACACATTTGTGCGGACTTGCATTGTCTTGCTGAATCAGCACATTACCCCGTCTACCAATGCTAGGAAATTTTCCCTGGATGGCGGGGACGACCATATTTTACATTTAAACAAGTGGTGCATCAACAGTTTGAGGGGTAGTGGCCATGGCGCCCTTCGGCCGGTTCTTGCTGCCGAGCTGTGCAGGGGCTACTTGAACGAAGGGCCAAACTCCAACTTACCGTCCCACTCCTTTCTCCCATGATGGTCATGTCGTGGCCTAGCCGCTGCGGCAAGGAACATAACCTTGGTTATGAAACGTTTGACTTGACCGAACGAGCAGCCACCGTTTGGTCGTCGTACACATAGTACCTTCGTTCAACCTTTGTCCGGTAGTACCACTTTGCATCAACATGCACATAGTAGTCATTCATGTCGGTGAAAAGATGGCGTCCACCTAGCAATGGTCGAATAAAGGGCAGTGCAAACTTGAGCCTTTCTTGGATGTTCGCGGGGGCGAGGTGAGGCTTGACGTACTTCGACCGGGCCTTGAAACGAGGGTTCTTCTTCGTGTGGCGAAATATCGCTTCCATGGGCACTCCTCAGGCGGTCGACAGGGAGCGCAAGGTCTGACGGTGCATTTGTGGCACCCCGCGAATCGCAGCTTCAATTTCGTCACTTGTTCGCTTGACTTGGCGTCCTGAATTTCCTACAAAATATACCCCCACTTATAACCGCATATATCAATATATTTGAGAGAATTAACCTTGGTATTTTGTGACGACATCGGCGGCATGGTCACCATCACGACGTTTGTCTCCACAGCCGTGATATCTCCACGAATGGCAGAGAAACATCTGTACAAGCTCGTTTAGAGCAGTATATCTCCCACCGCTACGCTTAACAGCATTTCGTACATGGTGCGGCGTTGAGCACAGCCCAAGTGCTTTGCGGACGTCCGAAGTCTCCCGGTCACTGCTTAGTGCGTCGACGGGATCCCGGGGGTGATAGAGGGGGCATGTAGTGGTGGTAGGTGAGTGCAGGTAATGTTTCGAGTTGATTAATTGTATAATAAATTGCTGGCATAGACTTTTCTGACAGAGATGAATGTCAACCAGTTTTTCCGCGCGATATCTCAACAACCAAATTACTACCTCCAGACGGAAATAGATCAGCCATTTGACGAAACTTGATGTGTTTTCTTCAAATGTTTGAATTGTATAAATTTGAAAATAGGTGCCGAAAAAGCTCAATTCAACGCATCCAATTGGCTCGAATACACAAAAACGAGTTCAATCCAGACGAGCAAGTTGACATGAAAATTCAATACTCAAATCAAGATAAAAAATTCGGACTCTACCAAGTTCATCCAAAATGCAGGAATGAAGATCACTTTTGAGCGGCAAATCAAGGCGCGCATCGCTGATTTTTGATGAAAGAGCTTACGTCCGATCAGCGCCGCGCTGTCTTGGACCACCTGCTCCTTCGTGTGGTAAAGGCCCCATGCCAGCTTCACCATGGAGCCATAAATGAGGTGGCCCGAATCTTTGGTCGAAATCGCCATACCATCGCCGAAACCTGGAAGCGTGCCAACGTATCAATCGGTGTGGACGGCCAGCCTGGGCATGAGATAGTGGGCCAACATATCTCTTCTCTCAAGAAGAATCGCGTTGGTCGAAAGCAAAAGTACTCAGACCTTCCAGATCGAATTCGCGCGATACCACCACAGCGTCGGACAACACTCCGGTACATCGCGCATGCCATCGGCGTCCCTGCGAGCGCGCTCAAAGACTACTACAAATGCGGTCTCATGGTCAAGTATAATTCCCTCATTAAACCAAAGCTAACGGATGCAAACAAGGTGGCCAGGGCAAAGTGGGCCATGGACTTCGTGCGCCCCGACAGCAACTTCCAGTTCGCCGACATGTACGACTACGTACACGTGGATGAGACGTGGTTTCATGCAACCAAGATAAAGTCGCGAATGTGCCTGCTGCCGGGTGAAGACCCTCCCCATCGCTCCACCCAGAGCAAGCGCTTTATCAAGAAAGTGGTATTCTTCTCCGCCGTGGCACGCCCAAGATGGGACGACGACAAGGCCGAGTGGTTGCATGGCAAAATCGGAACCCGGCACTTCACGCAAGTTGTCTCCGCCACCCGATCGTCACGCAACCGTCCCGCCGGCAAGCAGGAACTCCGCCCAATCAACGTAACGCGCCCTGTGTACAAGAACGTGCTGATTGAGCACGTCATCCCTGCTATCTTAATATTTGTATACTCGAAACTGGTCAAAACTGTGTTTTTATTCAATTTTTGTACTTTCACGACAAAGGTAAATGTCATGTGATTCATTCTTAGGCGTCGGTATCAGTGCTCATATCATCAACCATTGTGCAGAGTAGATCAATATTGGACATATTGATCGAATCCTCAAGCGAACACGTCGCAAGCACACTCGATAAGTTATCTACTCTACGCTCAAAGTC